AGGAGCTATGCTATTTTCCACCAACTAACAGTGAGACCAGTTAATTTAATGACTGCGATATCAGAAATTTGTGTTTATCTCTGGGAATGAGATAAAATTTGGCATGTATCTTTGAAAGGCAGGAGGTGGTGTAGAAGGCTGGATGAAAGCAAACAACTTGTTCCAAGGGTGCTTGGATTTGTACCTCTGATTAGCTTGTTAAAAGTTTGGGTGTTACTCTGTTCTTAGTAAACTTGTGCAATTGACTTTTATTAGCTAGATCACTCAAAGCCTTCTAGCTTTTCATGCTGATCCTGGAAGACTTCAAATGGTCAGTGTGACATAAAAGAGCATTTTCAGAGCCTTTTCTTAAGTATTAAAACAAAACAGGCTTTCCCTATGGGCCATCTGTATTTATTTTCATAGGTAGAGCTCCTAGCTTTGTGGAAATACAACAAGCTAGAGGGAACATTATTGTCATTACTTGGCTGAAGATGATGACATTGATGTGAGGTCTTCTGACAGGGGAATAAAGCAGAAAATAAAGTGGAAAATATCAGGAACAAGAGGATCCTGTTGAAAAAAGGAATCTCGTGTAAAACTCAAAAAACTGCTTTGTTTCTGGGATTTAGGTGTTTGGTTTGTTTGGTTGTTATACTGTTCTCATCCCTGCTGTAATTTGTAAATGCTGGGTTTCTCATGCAGGTTGGGAGGAAAGCCAGTGCAGTTTCAAGGTAGGTGATTCAGCTGGGCTGCTACTCTTTTAAAACAGCTGATTGTTGCATAAGATCTGGAATCTGACCCGATATATATCAGTCCACCCCATTTGCACCAAATTTGACCACCATTGCCAGTGATGGTTGTTTGCTGGCCTTCTTAGGGTGAGTCAGTGGCCTCTGCACTGTGGCTGGTAGACAGATGCTCATGTTTCTGTATCTCCTGGAAAAAAAACTGTCTGCTGAGAGTCTCTGTAAAAGTGCCAGCATTAAATGAGTATAAATAACTTTTTACCCACAAAGGTCTGTGGCACAAAGGAGCAGAAAATGTAAGCAATTGCTTTATCTGTTTTTGTACTGATGATGGAGAGGGGACGAAGTGAAGACAAGAGGAGGAGAGAAATAAAATGAGGGTTCAAAGATTTCCTTTAAAAATACTTTTGCCCTTGTTTTCTAAGGTTTAGTTTTCAGTCTTTTGAGAGTCAGTGAACCTGCAGGATTCCTCTGATTTCATAGCCTTAATTCATATTTTATTTTTTACTTTTTTTTTTTTCATAGTAAAGCATTTTGGTGTAAGAGCGTGCATGGATTATTATCTTGCTACGCTATATACAGCAGCAGACTTGGCGTACAAGTGCATATGTGTTTATGTGGGAAATGTGGGAAGATGGTGCAAAGGAGCACAGAGTACCGATTAGATAATGATGTAGGTCCTGAAGACTAGGACTGACAACTGAGTAGTAGTGTATTCAAACAAAAAGTTTAGGATTTATTCTTCTTGCCTTTTGCCGGTTCATTGGCGAGGTGGTGGTTGGTTTAGTTTTTTTCTTTGGTTTTTGGGCAATAGATTTAGTGTCCTGAAGATTTTCTTTGAAGTTACCACAGAGAGTTGAAGGTTTTGTTTTTGGTGTGAAACTTGAGATTTTAGTAGATTTGCTTGATGCTGGGAACTGGAATGTTTAATGAAGTGTCAAATAACACAAAGTTTATGCTTTAAGCCATGGGAGTTTGGCAACATTGAGGGCTGTGTGTACTGAGTATCTTAAGATAATGCCTTAGTCAGTTTCTAGGAGTCTGAGTTAGTTAGCAATGATGAGTCAAAGCTATCTTTATATGTATGAGGTGTACATATTGCATAGTGGAAGTCATGACTAACATCTCTGCTCATGGGCTTGTTCTGTAAGCCATTCATATGAGTGAAGAATCACTGTGGGATGAGAAGGATCCTGATTTTTAGGTACCTCCAATGTCAGCCAATTTTCAGTTACAGGAGGTGTTCCACCTCAAATTATTTTACTTCTGTGCTGAGCAGCTTTATTTGGAGAAAAAACCAAAACATTGAGTTTCACTCTGGCAAGTTTCTATCCTGACTGCTGGTGTTGCTTGCTCTTGTTGAGCACTTTTGGCTGTTTGGCTCCAGAATCTGCTTGTCTTCTCTTCTGAGAGAGAACGTGTTGATACTGGGAGGATAAGGATGTCAAAAAACCTGCTTCAGTATGTGATACCTTTTGAGACCATCAAAACATTTCCTGATATATAATACTGAAAGGGCTTATTCTGCTGTGGTGGACTCTTAGAGTTTTGTCAGATATGTCTCTGTTTAATTTCAGTTGACAGTCAGTTTTCAGATACTCATTGAGAAGGACTGTCTAATGTTTTCAATCATTTTCCTATTCTGTGCTTTTTTTGACAGCTCTCCTTTTGAGCATAGCTTTTAAACTCTTGTGTTAAATTAAGTGTATTCCTTCCCGCAGACTTTTCTTGGAATCCATGTGGTATGTTTGGTATGAACATAAATGAACATGGGTGTCTGCTTCCGTCCGTTTCTCTTCGAGCTCTGGCAGTAGCTGCTTAAGCTCAATATTTATCTTAGCTTCTACAGTGAAAATCCTGTAAATACAAAAAGTAGTTTAAGAAAAAAAACACTATAAATCCTGCACGGGCAGGTTATATTTCTATTAAAGTGGTTCTACAAATGGCTTTGTGGGCACTGTTATTTTTCTGTTTCATTGTGGGGTGTGATCCTCAAGTTCCTTTAAAGAATGAAATGCTGAAGATTGGCTGCAAGCTCCTGTAGACCGCTTCTAAGATCCCAGCACCCCTATAAAGTGTTGCTCCCTTGCAAATAAAGAAGGTGGTTTTTTGCCTAGCAACAAGTTTTATGGTTTCTACCTGAGGATCAAAAACACAAGTGCATTTGTTCATCCTTTTGCGTCACTTTGGTACTGAAGATTTTGACAGTCAAATTATTGCTGACATTTCTGTTGATGTGCAAGAAAGCGAATAATCCAGTATGTTTTTCCCATAGCAGTGCTGTCACTGCAGGACTGACAATAATAAGAAGTACATTCATCACTTAATAACCAAATATCCTGGAAACGCATGGAAAACAGAGGTGTATTTTCAAAGAAAATGTCTCACTTTTAATGGCTATTTTCTGACTGGTTCCTTTTTGCTATTTGTACTCTCCCTGAAGTATTTTATAGAAATGAGCCTGTTTGAAAACCCACCCAAACAACCAGAAGTGAATTTTACGTATTGTAGGATGTAAGTGATTAGTCATCACTTGTAAATTGCCCAATTGAGGAGGAGGAGGAAATTTATATTAAGGGAAGGTGAAGAACTTGATTTTGACTGCTATATGTCTCAGTTCTTCCTGCCCTTCCCCCCCCCCCAAGATAATTATGAAGGAATTTTTATTTATTTATTTTTTAAAATCATCCTAAGAGATACTGTCAGCAGGTTTGAGAAATGATAGCTGCAGACTGTAAGCTTATTTTCCACTTGCTTATGTTTCCTTGCTGAAATTTATGGGATTCTTTTGTCTTATTTTAAGATTCTGTGGTCATCTTGTGCATTGCCAACGAAAAATGATGTTGGCATTGGAGATCTTAAGTGTAACAGCATGAGGAACTCAGTTTATAAAGGTGTATGTCTTTGGTAAAGTATGATAAGATTATGTTGAGCATCTGTGGCACAAGACCAGAAATAGTTTATTGGAGTCTTGACAGATCTCTTCACTTGCTGGATATGATACCGTTTGGTTGGTTGGTTTGTTGCCTGTTTTTTCTTTTGCTTTGTTTGTCTTATGAACAGATAATTCAAAGCACATGGTAACATTTAATAATACTGAAATAATACTTTTATGTCCTGATTTTGGTCTATTTTTCAGTTAGTTTTGGAGGTTTCTGATGGTAATGTTCTGTTCCCTGGCTGGCTGTTTTCCAAGTGAAAGTGAAATTCATTGTATTTCCTCAGATTTTTGGTTTTGGTTGTATTTTATTTTTTTGTCTCTTTTTCGGAAATGTGAAGACAAGCATTAATGGGAGGGCTAAAGGTTTTTAAATCAGTAGTTAATTCACTCTTTTCTCTCTTAGTATTGGCTCCATGAAATACATTTGCATGTGCTTGAATGCTTAAGCGAAATTTTCCATATTGTTTCTTTGCCACTACCATCATGATCATATGTTTATCATTGAGTTAAAGTTTCTGAAAACGTCCTGCAAGAAATGATGAAAAGCAAGTGGGAAGACATACTCTGTACAGATGCTCTTTGCATTACTGTGTACAAATTCTTAAGTGATTTGAGGAAAGTTATTCAATTTTATGTACATAAATTTATGGGCTGGCAGTGGTAGTTTATAGAACAGCCTGCTGGTCTCCTCTGTGTGACTGATCTCCGAGAGAGCAGGTCTAGATTTTGTGAAAGGCTAAATTACATGTCTGGCATATGAAATTCAGCTCTCTCAACGTGGTGAGTTCCAGTTCACTGCCACATACTGTACAGCAATTGCAACCATGTGCAATTTAAAATGTGCCTCAGAAACAAGGAGTCTAATATTAGAGTGAGATGATTTTCAGATTATTTTTTCCCCTCAAGTAGCATGATACGTATTTCCGCCTATTTGCCTTTTTTGTGTCTCTGCACTGATTGCTTCAACCATGATTCATGAGCAAGCCTTGAAAAGTGGTGCCTGTTGTTTCAAGACCTAGTTTCTTTTTCAATAGTGTTTGACTATTGAGATTTTAATTGGAGCAGAAGCTGTAGTTAAAATCAGGCAAGTCCCTTTTTCTCATATCCTTATTGATTTCTGTTGAAGCAAACAGATGAGCTTTTATATAAATATGTATATATGCTTTTTTTTTTTTAATGAAAAGTGCTGGAATTCACTAAAAAAGGTTAAAATTTATGTGAGTAATCTTCGATGCATAATGCAATTGTTAATTTTAGCTCCTTGCGTAGGAGCTGTTGTGATTTGAACAGCCGGCTCTAGCATTCATTAGAGAAGAAGCAGGCAGTTTTGAGACAGGTGGAGCTGGATCAAGCTGTGCAAGTGATTTGCTTGAAACTGGTCATTAATATTAGAAATCCGGTCCTATCCTTTGCATCCTTACCTTTTACCATGATCGTTACCATTGTTATTATTTACTTTTCGTCTCTTTCCAGGTTGACTATGATCCATCAAACTCTCTGAAGGACCAGCATGGAGATTGGCACTCTGAACTGTTAATGGGGACATGGGACTCAGGTTGTCACTGATCATTTATGTGGACTTAACCAGTGAAGAGCAACAGAAGACCCTAAAAAGGCAGTGGGAATTATAGTGGTTTTTCAGGTAAATGGCTTCTTTGGTGCAGCTGAAAAACTAGGAGTGTAATTGTTTTTGTGAACACTGTAAGCATGTAGATGAAAGGTGGGGTGACGTGCCCATGAAGAACTTGTGCATGCATGTGCCTTTCTTGATAGAAATTCTGAACAAATTAAAGGCTATTTAATAGACCAGTTTCAGGTCTTGCTGTTCATCGTGTCTTGAATTTTTAGCAAAGCGGTTCAAGTTTTGTTTTTAACTGCAGAGTCACCATGGGACTTCCTGGGAAGGGTGGTGGGAGGAAGGAGAACAACTTGAAGCTTGACTTGGCTTACTGTGAACTAATTTGTGAGCTTCATATTCCAGTTGGTTTATTTGTGAACCGTGTAGTTTCATGTGAAATTCACGACCCTTCTCAAACGAGGTTACACAGGAAAGGTTTTATAGTTTTATTTGCTTACAGTGGCAAAGCAAAAGCAAAAAATTGAAGTTTTTAAAACTCAGTGTGTCTTATTTTTTCACTTAGAGCTAAAAAAAATGAAGGTGAGATCAGTTCTGTTGAATGTTAGTAAGAAGCTGTAAAAAGAAACATGGCAAAGTGTGATTTTTGCTTAGCAGCCACTGTTTCATTGTTCAGAAGTTGCAAGATACTGCAAAAAACCCTCTCTGAAATGTAACTCCCATTCTCAACTGCAGTTGTTTTTCCTGACTTCTTAAGCCAAATGGATGAGGAAAGAAAAGTTAAATTATTCATGAGTCTCATTTGACAATTGATCAGTGGGGGAGGCTTCAAGAGGGAGCTGGGGGAGAGAGAGAGAAAATAATAATAGGCTTTAACTTTGAAAAGACTTTAAAGCTTCTGTACAACAACCCATTGTGAGCTGAGAGTAAGTGCAGTTCAGTTAAGGTATCTTCATTAGAAATACCTGCTAAGGGCTTCCTGTAGGATTTTCACAGTGCTGGAGAATGACATAGGGTTTGGGAAGAGGCTTATGATTTTAATAATGGAGCTGTCTCTGATGCCTGAAAATGCTCACCCTGGGAGCTTTATTGCTAGATTTAGATTTCATATTTATATTGAATTGTTATCTCAGCAAATATATATATACATATTTGAACTGGTAGTGAGCACCATGAGCTTCTGCAGTGTACAGAAACCATGGTTGACTGCTAAAACCGGTATGGTTCTCATGCTTGACTTTTATTTCTGGTTGTGCTGTCTGTTTGGCTATTTTTAATTAAAAAAAACAATAATAAATCCCCCAAAATTAGAGAAGGGGAACACTGAGATGCAAGAGAGCTGGAATTCTGAATGGGTCCTTCCTGCCTGGCGCTGCTGAGCTCTGTAGTGGAGGATCCCTCGTGATCCCGCTTTTTGGCAGTCCCAGGGCTGGGCTAGAAGAGACAGGACTGGGGAGTCACAGCACCTTACTTTACATCTGCTTGCCTTACCAAGAGGACTATTTAGCTCAGAACTCTGCTTGTTTAACCTGATGCAATTCTGCTGTTACCCAATATTGTCAACTCATTACATCTCTTTTGCTGAGACATAGGTAGATTTCTATACCTGAGCTGCATGTTTTGCTTTTTATAACAAAGGAAATGAAATAACTTACTTGGGCATTAAAAATCAATAGATTGACCCCAGATGTTTTTTTGTGTGTATGTGTTTGTGTTGTGATGTCTTGACCCTTCAGGTCACCAAATCTTGTTATTTTAATTTCTGTCTGGAAGAATGTCTGAGCAAGGTAAATTGAACCAGGAGACAGCAGAAGAAACTGCAAAAGAGCAGGAGTCTGCCCTCTCTGAAGTGAACCCGGACAACTGTATCCTTAATAAATCTGAAAGCTCAGAAATAGAGGAGAAGGAGGAGAAGCTGAGCGATGCCAAAACAGACCTGCAGGTAAGACAGGAATGGTGAATGAGCACATTTAATATCAGTGTGTTACCATTGTCTTTCCACATCTGTGATCTCTTTAATTTCTTATGCTTTTCTTGGTTTTTCTCTTGTAATTTTAAGCTGTCTCTCTTATTTAGGTTTTATGAGTCATTTTATCTCTCTATAAAATAAATGCTGTTACTTGTTACACTTTTCAAGCTATTTAGGCTTCTGTCCATGTTACTAATTTTTCTGAGAAGTTAATTCCTAAACATCTGTCTTAATGCTTGGTGAAATATTTGAGTTTTTTCCCTCTTTGGGGATTTAGAAACTACCTTGATCTCATGAATTTGCAGGTAATGCTAATGAATAATTACTTAATGTGTGGTTTGGTTTGTAGGTGTTACTGCCAACAAAAAGTTGTTATGCAAAGCCTAAGAAGGTAAATTGATAAGAAGACTATCGGATGAGGGGGTTTTAAGCCTTTTTGCTCAATCGAATATAAAAATAAAGGGGGAGACTACAATTTAAGAGGAATTTGGAGAGGGGGAGCATTTACTTAAGTATGCCTTTTCTTACATTCTTATATGCCAAATTATGGAACGTTAAGCTGGTGTGTTTTTGTTGTTTCTACCTGTTCTTAAAATGAATAGAATTAGCAGAGATGATTCTTGGTTTTCCCTGATTTCCAGCCTGGGTTTGGGGAAGTTGTTTTTGCAGTCAGCAACTGAAAAAATTGCACTTTACAAGTGATTTTTATCTCTCTGTTAATATCACTTTTGTCTAGCACAGTTTCCACTGAAGTGATAACTGCTTCTCTTTTTTGTACCCAGAAACGAGGTGCAAATCAGAACCAGCAGAAGAAGAGATCCAAGGTAAGGGTCTATCTCTATTTGGAATGCATGTCATGGTAGGATAAATAATTTCAATCAACAGTCTGTCTGCAGTTGAATTTATGGCCTTCCATCACTTGTGTAGTGGTTGGGGTGTTTGGGGTTTTTTTGTTTTATTTTTTTTCCTCCCTCCTTTACTCCATAATCTAGTTACATAAAGGTAGAGCAGTTTCTCTAGGTGAAATGTGTCAGGCTCCTCTTCATTTATGCATCATACTTTTGTGCTGCTGGACTGGCTGTTTGTGTGTTAGTGTTTGTGCTTTAGTGTACCACAGGGGAAGGAAGAAACTCAGTCCTTTTGCTTTAGTAATTATTTTTTTTGTTTTGCTTTTATTTCAATTGACTAATCTTGACATCAAGAAGGAGAGAGATTGGCTAGCTCCCTAAGGGGAGTGGAGGTGGGAAATGAGCTTCCAGGAACCAAAAAACTCACCCCAAACTGTCTTTTAGTTTTCCAAGCATGTTTTATTGTTCATGTTCTTTGAATGTAACACTACTAAAAGGGGGGTGGGAAGGAACAACCAAAAGCAAACAAACAAACAAAAAAAATCCAAGCAAATTACAGAAGGAAACTTGGAGTTTATGTTCAGTTGACTTCAGTACTGGATGATGTTTGTTGCTGTTAGAACTGTAGCAGAAGTTATGAGCAAAAAGAAACCTACTCCTGTGTGGCAAATGGTTCCTTGCTTAGAATTGTGTTCTATCTGCACTGAAGGCAGATAACGTTTTGCTGGGTGGGTAGTAAATATTTGCAATATTTAGGGAAAGCTAATGTATGCAGTTTATGTGACTTGGGGTCAATAGTAGTGTTCTCTGTTTTCTTTTCTTTCTCTGTTACCCAGTCAGGAGCTAAAGGAAAACTCGTCCGGAGTCTTGCTGTGTGTGAAGAGTCATCCCCTCGTTCAGGAGCGGAAAATCTTCATGATAATCAGGTACACTTGCAATCATTGCTGTTAGCTGCATGTTCAGTTGCATGATTACGTTACTTAATTGGGAACTTAATTATGTCTTTCTTGGGGGAAATAATTACATCCAACAATGAATATGTTTTTTTATGAAGTTGTCTGGTTTAGCGTGAACTTTATTTTGCAATATTAGTTTTATACTATATCACAGGGTGTTGTTTGCTTTTTTTTCCAGACCCCCTGAAAATTTCAGCAAATGGAAAAGAATTCAAAAGAATTTAGATTTTAAAAATTAAAATACTAGTACCATTCAAAAAGAATATTAATATGCTCTTTTCTCTAAGGCTATCTCTTTTGAGGCTGCACCAGATTCAGTTAGGAATATACTCTGGTTTCTGGTTCCTCTGACATTCCAGTTCATGTTAGTTTCCCCTTTCACATAGAATTCATAGGTCCTCTGCTCACTAAAATACCGTGATGGAGCCAAGGATGCCTCCTACAGAATGGAATTCATTTTCTAATCTCTTGATGTAGATTTTCTGGTATCAAAAAGCATGTATCTGAGTTTATTTGTACTGGTAGTGTTGTATTTCCAGCAGCTGCTAGAATTCTGTCCCCTGCACCCCTCACCTCAATGACACTGGTGGCAGTCTTTGTAGACTACATTAAAAAAAACAACAACAAAAACAACCCAGAAAGCAAATAAAAACCTCAAATATTCTTCTTTGCTTGCCTGGTAAGAGCAAAGCTTTAAAAAAGAACAAACCAAAATATCGTGAGCACTGCCTATAATTTATGAGATGTTTACGGGCAAATGAGATCAGCCATCAAGAGAGTGACTTCTTGTGAGCTTAGCACAAAAACAAAAAAACACATGTAAGTGTACTTTCTCACTGTTTCCTCTGTTGACTTGAAACAAAGTCTGACTCTCCTCTTAGTTCTTAAGTATGGAGAGATTGTTCTAATTTTTTTTTAAGTTTTTCTTGAAATACCAAAAAGCAGGTTGTTTTAGCTAGGGGACGTCTACATGTTCTACTGCTCTACAATGATGCTTATGCAGTAGATGGCCAGTTTATTTTATCAGTTGTTCTGTTGTAGTTCTACACTTCCAGCTTACCTTGCGTTACCGAAGATACGTGGCTTTTGTTCTGCTTTCATTTGTATTTTCTATTGCTTAATGGAGAATTAAAAGGAGAATATAAAGAGATTGTATTAAGCATCGCATGGTAGTTTATAATGTACTGCACAGGACCTGTATTAAATGTCAGAGAGACTGGCAGGTTTTGAGGCAAAATCCCTGTCTGGATTGCATTCCAGTGCCAGGTGGAGGAGGTGTTCCTGTTACACACAGCCTCCGGTCTTACCTGATTTTCACCAGCCACAACAAAGATTTCTGTGACCATATTGAAACACGGGAGATAAAAATGCCTCCCTGGACACCAGATTCCATTTCCTAAAGTCACAATTGGCTTGTTGCAATTAATTAGATAGGAAATGCACTTTTGCTGTCTCTGATCTTTTACTAATTATCAATATGGCTCAGCTTTGCTGTGAGAAGCTGGACCTGCAGCTCCTCCTTGAACTGGCTGAAGGATACAGAAAGTTTTGTCCCAACTTAATTGCTTTGCTTTCACTTCATAGGAGAAAAAGCTTATTTTAAGTTTGGATTTTTTTTAATTATTATTTTATCTTAATGGTTTACAAAGCACAGGGAATTACCAGAGAATGTACGGTACATTGCCAGAACTACTAAGTATGGATTGTACTGCAGACTCGATGTTTGTATTTATATTTGAATACTTGCCTTCATTTTCCTGTATAGGGAAAAACTTGTTTACCTGTATTACTTGATCTTGAACGCTTACTTGATGGTTCACTATGTCCTTACTGAAAAAGAATGTTGCCTTTAATGTTATACTATTGACCAAGAGGTGTATTATTGCAATTTGAACATTTATTTTGTTGTTCAATATACTTACCTTGTATCAATGTATTTATTAATATTGTATTTTATTATTGAGAAAAATAAATAAAAATCTAAGAAAATCCACAGTAGCTTGCTTTCACGTCTCTACAGCCCTTTTGTGTTTCTTCTGGTGCATATATATAAGTATTGTTACATGTAAGAAAGTATCTACTGTGTGTTAATACGTGTGCTTATGTGTAAAGTCTGTTGTTTTTCTTTTTGTAAGTGCATTTTAACAACCACTCTGAAGGTTAGCATTGAAGTCCTGGGAATAGCATGGCCAGTACATTTTTCTCCTGTTTTGAAAAGCTAGTGGTACAGTAGCCCTGCTCTGGGTAGGGCAGGAAATCTGTTACCCTTCGGGACCTTTTGGCAGTAGGTGGTCCAAAGTTTGGTGTTTGAATAAGAAATTGAACTGCCATTTGAAGTGAAAGGAAGCAGCCATAACATTAGTCCTCTTGAGTGCAACTGAGCAAAACATGTTAGCAAACATGTTTCTGTGTAGCCTTATCTTAAATGACCAGGAGTTCCCACTCTTTC